ATGGTTGGTGGCGTTGATAAATAATAATGATAGGCCAATGTTTTTAATGATGATGTTGATGTAATGTGCCGATGATAACATGATGATTGATATGACGAAGATGTTGATTGATGGGACAAGAATTGACGTGATGATGTGATAATGTTGATTGATGTGATTGTTGATGTGATGAGGTGATGACGACCTGAATGCACTGGGCTCGTTCGGGTGGGACTGCAAACTGAAGAGCAGAGTTCTCAAAATGTTTAACAGGAAGATGAAGTTTAACTGTGTGATTGGTTGGTTGGATGGTTGGTTGATTAGTCGGTTGGATGGTTGGTGGGTGGTTGGTTGGTCGATTGGATGGTTGGTGGGCTGATTATTCATTCTCTTATTCATTCATTCATTCATTTATCTGTTTTTTCGTTCATTAATTCATTCAAACAATCAATCAAACACTCGATTGAATTTTATACTTTCAAAACAAAGACTCATTAATAATTAATTAAAATAAAATTCAATGAATTTAGTTAGAAATAATTTTAATCACTAAATTCTAGTACTTAAAACAGATAACAAAAATAATGACTGAAGACTGAACGCAATCGATACATTCAGATTAATCAATCATTGACCGAGTAACGACAAACAACACGTATACACACACAAAAAATACACATACATTTACACATACAGACACACACAATTTTATATTCATACAGACACGCATTCATACAGACACATATGTACATACAGACAATCGCGCTTACACAAACGGACACACAGAAACAAATCAAAACATACGCAGAGACAAATGATATTAGGTGTAAAGATAAACCAATCAAGATTTCCCTTCTGGAATACCCAGCATCTGGTTATTCAAACATTAACTATTCAGACTATTGCAATCAATTTTATACTAATAATTATAATAATTAATATTCATAAGTTTAAGATGACGTCACGACATTACTCACAAACCTTTCATTTGACATTCCTGTTTCATCCAACATTATGGCGCCAACAAACATGAACATCGTCAGAACCGGTACAACTGTGATAAAAATTGTGTATATGTTGTACACACACACACACAGACACATACACATACACACACATACATACATCACATACACGCAAGCATACACACGCATACACAAACACCCATACACAAACACACATATACAAACCAACAGCAGGTAGTGTAGCCGGTGTTTATTCAACATTGCACACAAATTTGTTAACATTCAAAAACATATTTCCATTTAAACAAACACAGTTTAATAATGCAAACAATTGAGCACATACAAAGACCTTTTTTTTATTTCACGTATGTATGAACCTACATACAAACAATTAAAATAACTGCGAAAACTAACAGAATAACAATAATAATAATAATAATAACCATAACAATAATAACAACAAAAACACCTGACTAACACCAGCCAATAATATACAAGATGACCATAGAACCGTGTGTGGTGAACGCATTGGCGATCAGACGATGCAGATGGTAGCCCTCACAAAACATCCACGTAAAATTGGTGCCTGTGTATGTTAGTATGTGTGTGTGTGTGTACGTATGTGTATGTGTGTGTGTATGTATGTGTGTGTGTATATGTGTGTGTGTGTGAATATGTATGTATGTGTATAACTATGTTTGTATTTGTGTGCATGTACGCGTATGTATGTATGTATGGATTGTTTATAGCAATTTTTAGCTCAAGAATCTAGGTTAGGTTTTTCAGCTTCCATATTTACGATGAAGAAACCACGTACACATAGAAACAATTTTGCTGTCAAGGAGCAAGTTATTGAGTTATTAACTGGTTTTTTCTCTCATAAACTAATGATGACCTCACGGTGAAATTGCGTTTTTCCTTTAGCGTGCCTCTGCCTGATAAGTTTTGTTCATTTAAATTTCTTGCAATCATCCCCTGTCTGAACAATTTTTAATGCTTAGTGTGAAGTTAAACTGAAATACATATCGCGTGTGTCTTTGTTTGTTGTTTAATATCTGTATACTTCTTCTTAGTTTTTATGTTGTGACTTGTTTATCTGTATATGTTTAAAGGTTTTATGCACTTTTGGACATTATAGAATTATTCATGTGCGTTTTTCATGTATTTGATAGTACTTTTGTTGGTGTGTGTAGGTTTTTGACCGCATGTTTGTGTGCTTTCGTGTGTTTGTCTGTGTAAATTTTTGTAAGCTTATGTATGTGTGCTAAATATAGTTTATACTATATTGTAATTTTAATGTAATTTTAATGTATTTTTATTTGCCTTTGTATATGTTGCTATGTTAATGTGAGTGCTTCTTAATCCGCACGCATTCCGTTCTCGCAAATTGATGTGACTCTTAATTGATTGGCCTATATGTTTGTGTGCGTGTGTGCACGTGCGTTTGTGCGTGTGTGTGTGCGTATGTGCGCGCGCGCGCGTGTGTAATTAACGAAATTTGTGTGTCAATCACGTTTGTTTAATTGAAAAATCATGAAAAACCAGACTACATATCAAGCCACACACAAAAAAAATTTAATTAAGTTTGTTTTACGAAAAAAATGAAAAACACGCTGCGATGAAATTTTTGTGGTCACCTTGGAAATAATATCTGAAGAAGCAGAGTATTCGGCACCAAACCTGAAAATAATCAATCAGACGTTATCCAAATAGAAAATGACATTCTCAACACATTCAGTAAGCTAAAAATATGTTTGATTGTCAATCAGTAATCATTAATCAATATTGTTAAAATTTTATTTTATAGTTAATTTTTTAAAATTATAATTCACTGACTGACCAACCAACCAACCAACCAACCATCCAACCATCCAACCAACCGACCGACCGACCGACCAACCAACCAGCCAACCAACCGACCGATCGACCGACCGACCGACCGACCGACCGACCGACCGACCGACCGACCGACCGATCGACCGACCGACCGACCGATCGACCGACCGACCAACCAACCAACCAACCAATCAACCGACCAACCAACCAACCAATCAACCAACCGACCGACCGAACGACCGACCGACCGACCAACCAACCAACCAACTAACCGGATTCTGAACGTCAATCCTGAGATCCTTGTGATACGCGTGTAGATCCGTGTACACCAGTTCATACCAGAGAATATTCATGAGACTCATCATTATAAGAGAAGCGAAGAAATGCGCGTGTAATTTTATACGCCCTTGTCTTATTAGATCTCTATTTGGTTTGGGATAACAACGCAGATCTTGGTTTATATATTTTGTCTGTGTTTTTGTTTATGCATTAAGTATTTTTCTATCTCGCTTATAATATTTGTTTATAATATTTCTAATGTATTTTTGACTTGCGAATGATATAATTGATAAATAGATAGATTAAATTTTTTCGTGAATTAATTTATTCTAACTTGAAGTGGGCGAACAAGATGATGGCTAGTGTAAGGAAGATGATATCCAAGCTGTTGATCGCTACGACGATTTTGTACGAGTTGTTCTTAATTGATTAATTAATTAATTAGTTAATTAACTAATTAATTAGACAAGTTTTTAATAAATTTTGTTAGTATTTGTGTGTCATTTTTTGAAGAAGTGAAATCAAAAACAAAAACTGAATAAACTCACACATTTATTCTATCACCAAACGTTTTTTTCATCAACCATAAAACAAATATTTCAATCAATCAATCAATTAATAAATCAATCAATCAATCAAACAAACAATCAAACAAGCAATCATTTAGTCAATCGGTTAGTCAACCAATGAAAAAGATTCAACTAAAAAAAAACATTTGGCTAGCCAGGCAATCAACAAAGATCATGTTACCAGATCTTAATTCACAGATGCATTACAATTTTTTCAATTGAATTCAGCGCAGTTGAATTAAATTTCAAATTAATGACCTATTTATATTCAAACGCTATTTTCTTCGTGACCAATTAAATATTTTTTTCTTGGTTAACAGAGGAATTTATTCCCTTGGATAAAAAGATATATGAATAATGAAAAATTAAAACAATACGTGCAATTTTCGTCCGTTTGTGAAAAATTGACAAATTAATTAATTAATTAATTAATTGACAAATTAATTAATTAATTAATTGTTTATTTAAAATGAACAACCAAACACATCAACTTTGAAAGACATCAACAGCAAAAACACCAACAACAGAAAACATTAAAAAAATAGGAAACAAATAAAAATATAAATAAGAAGGGAAGAGGTGTGAGATAGAGAAGAAATACGAACGAATGTGTATAAAAGTGTTTACCCACACAAACCCACGTGTTTGTGTGTGTCCGTATATGTATACGTGTGTGTGTGTGTGTTTGCATATGTATGTGTGAGTGTGTGTTTGTATGTGTGACTGTGTATGTAAGTGTGTGTTTGTGTATGTGTGTGTGTGTTTGTGTGTGTGTTTGTGTATGTGTGTTTGTGTGTATTTGTGTATGTGTGTGTTTGTGTATGTGTGTGTTTGTGTATGTGTGTTTGTGTGTATTTGTGTATGTGTGTGTTTGTGTATGTGTGTGTTTGTGTATGTGTTTGTATGTATTTGTGTATGTGTGTTTGTGTATGTGTATGTATTGTGTGTTTGTGTGCTGTAAAGGTGTCAGCCAAAGTGTGAAAACCTATTTATGATAGAATGAATAGTTGTGTAAAAATATAAACAACAAAAAATAAAGTCAACAAAAGAAAGTAATTAAACATATATAACAAGTTCAACGACAAATTACAACACCAGAATTATATTTTATGAAACACTAAGGCAACATGAAGCAGAGCAGAATTTTAATTTCAAATAAAACCAACAACAACAAATAAACTAGCACAAAAAAACTAACAAAAACAGACAAGAACAAACCAGCTTTAAAAGAAATCACACAATAAACAACCCTGGCCATTCCATTTCAATTTATCAAACAGTAATTTGTGTTTAAGACATAAAAAAACATCAACAACAACACAAAACACCAACAAAAAGACACCAACAGCAAAAACATCAACAACAAAAACATCAACAACAAAAAAAAACAAAGACGGAAAACCACAACAACAACAACAACAACAACAACAACAACCAACAACAACAAAACCGGCAACTATTAATCATTGAGTTTGTTGCTGGTGAACATTTAAAAAATTGCACGCAGAACAACCATAGATAAACAAAAATTAAACAATATCAGCACGTAGTGAATTCGAAAAAAAAATCATTCATACGAACACACCACACGTATGTTTGTTTATTTGCATTAGAAATACATAATTTTGAAAAAAAACCACATACAATCATAGAAAAAAATGGTCGTACATTATTTTTGGTTTTCTATGTGAAATAATGTGTCATCTGAGATACAGAATGGATATAAAACACAAATTAAAGCAACATACAAATTTGCATAAAAATATGATGTATCATACAAAACAATACAACTATTCAGCATTACAAAAACACACGCACCAACAAAAACATATACACACACACACACACACACACACGCACACACGCACACACACACACGCACACACACACACACGCACACACACAACACACACACACACACACTTGTTAACATATAAAGATACAACACATGAACGTGTATAAATTGGATATGACATTTAATTGAGCTTGTCCACTTAAGGCAGTACCATGTAGGAAAGAGATGAGCTGCTTTGGAACAAGATGGTATTTGTATGAATTGAATGTTCAGGTATTTGCATGTATTGTATGCTTAGGTATTTGTATAGTTTGTATTTTTTGGTGTTTATATGTATATTAAGGTATTTGTATGAATTTTATCTATAGGTAATTATATAAAATGTATACAAAAATTTTGTTGTATTAATTTGACATCTGCATCAAAAACAATCATAAGCAATATAGAACTAACAAACAAACAAACAAACAAACAAATAGACAAACAAACAAACAGCGAACAAGAAACCGAAGAAAAACAATAAAACCACGTGACCGACTGACCTCTTCATGTTCATAGCAAGCTCTATAATCAGTCCACTCATTGCCCATGTTGTCGAACCATACGCCATCAGCCTGGCACGTCTTCTCTGACCTAACTAAGATTTGTAAAATTTTGAAAAGTATTTTATACATTAATAATAAAATATTGAAAATAACTATTATTGTTGTTATTATTGTTGTTATAATTGTTGTTATAATTGTGATTTTTTGCGCCATATTTATTTTTATTTTGAATATTTCCATAACGGTCATAAAATGGAGTTGAACAAACAGAAAGACTTTTTGTTTAGAAATTCCAAAAAACGACGCCATTTTTTATTATTTTATGAGTTTTATTTGAATTTTTTAAAAATTTCCAGCTGCTAACTGAGGTCAGGAAAAATAAAATTTTATGTTTAACAATTTTTTCCAATATTTTCCTCAAATGATGAAAGATTGTCTTCTGAGTATAGGCGCCTTTAAAGCGCGCTCGTATTTCTAATTATGTTAATTTCCGTGACGTCATTTTTCGGTAAAAACAAAATTCTCGGTAGAGTCTTTTTAAGATGATTTAAAGGCATTCATTATGAAGATTTGTACGTGGAATGGCCATTCATTATTCGTGCAAGCATTTATTTAAACTTTAAAACGATTTAAATTATAAAACACCTAGACACACACATATACACTCACACATACAAACACACACGCACACACATTTTCACACACACATACATACAGATACAAACACACGTACACAAGCATTAATACAAACGCACACACAATATACACAAAGATAGATACATGCATAGAGAAACAGTGTATGTATCCCACGGAACATTTGTTTCTAAAAGTCAACGACCGATTTGTTTGTATTGAATGAAAGTACAACTCAAAGAATTCACCCACCTGATTAATTATTATCTATTCACAAATGTATACATTCACTTTATTTAAATAGGCTAAAAGGAAACAGTATTCCCCAGTTTATTCATTCATTCATTCATTTATTCAACTCTCCATCTATTGATTCATCGATCTATTCAGCTGTCAGTTCATCAGTTCATTCATTCTTTTGTTCGTTCGTCTATTCATCTATTCATTTGTTCGTTCACTCATTCGGTTATTCATTTTTTCATTTTTTGTTCCATCCAGTCATCTTTTACTTGCACATCTACACTTGCCATTTTTTATTTCATCCATTCATCCATTCATCCATTCTTCCATCCATCCATCCATGTACGCATGCATGCATGCACTCATTCATTCATTCATTTATTCGTTTTTCTAACTTACCTTCATGCGATCAATCACCCATTTCAAAATCCTCACAATCAAACGATAAAAATGTTGAACTGATAGCACCAGCTCAATATTGCCTGCCTGCCTGCTTGCATGGACCCTGGCAACCGGCTTATCATATAAATGACCACAAGATGAATGGATGGTAGGATGGATGTCAAACATTTTATTTTTAATTTGATGAGAGGTTTCATTTCTTTTTTCATTCATTCATTCGTTCGGTCGGTCGTTCATTCATTCGTTCGTTCGTTCGTTCATTTGTTCTTTTGTTCATTCGCTTATTTGTTCATCCAATCTGTAAATCTTTTAATCGTTTATTTAAAACGTATCTTAAATTTTTTTTTTGAAAACAAAACCTGTTTATATTAAATTGTTCTTAGCAACCTAACCATATTAAAACATTTGTCAAAGTCATTTTTCCCACTTTCTAAAAAAACCCAATCAAAATAGATGAATATAAAGAATATGAAATTTACGTGCGACGGAGTTGTTATTTGAATGAGATTGATGAGCTGTCAACTCTCTAGAGTGATTAATTGTACAATAACCACCACTAGTCCATAATTGCATACATGATTTTAAAGTGTGGATTTTTTTTCCTGCTAGGCAATTGAGAAAGAAAAAATTATTAATAACCTAAACGTTCATTGCCTGCACGTGATTGAAATTAACATTTTGAGACATCGTCAGAGAGATGTAAACACGACATATTTAAAAACTGTAAAATTACTATTACAAAAATGATTTAACGAAAACAACAATGGCAAAAACAACAGCAGACAGCACTCAAAAAATACATCAACGAACAACAACAGCAACTGCAACAATAACAACAATAACCACAACAACAACCGATAAAAAGTTGAAATAGCTTAGTAGGAGGCAGAAGCATGAAGGAAGGTTGCTCATGCGAGCGAAAGATAAACGGAGAAAACAAGGAAATTGCGAAATATCTATTTAAACAAGAAATTTAATTTCAGCTTTGGATGAAACATTTTCTTTACATTTTGTTTCTGTAACAAATAGTTTTAAGATTTTAACTGAAATTATTTTATATTTAATGTTTTTTTTTTGTTTTTATTGATTCGAGATTTATTATAAAACTGAAAAAAACATAAATTACAACAAAGCTACAATATACTGTTGCTTCTACTACTACTACTATTACTACTACTACTAATACTACTACAACTACTACTACAACTACAGCTGCTACAACTAATACTAATAGTAACAATAATAATACTAACAAAATAATGGCATCTTTATTGCATCTTAGAATACATTTGAATAAAAAGTTCAAGAACAAAAAATAAGACATATAATGTAAAACTAATGTAGAAAAACAAACTGTCTACCCTTCTTATGGCAAAAAAAACATAAAATGTTAAATAAAAAAAAACATTGAAGAAAAGAAAAATATTGATAGAGGCGAGCAGGTTTTAAGACTGATTCATTTGCAATAGAACCATGTACCATATGGGGTTCGGAATATACAGCACGTCGTTCAAACATTTACAATGTAGAATGAAACAACTCATCAGCCAACAAAATATATAACAAAATGGAAAATAAACAACAGAAAATAAAAACCACCAAAATAGCTAATCAAAACATAAACAACAAAAGCCAAGCATAAACAATGGCACCAGAAAACAACAACAACAAAAAACATCATCAACAACAACAAAACTAAATACAACTCCAGACAGCAGCAACAACATCTTCAGACATTAAAAACAATAACAAAATAGACATAGAAATGAACATTGCAACCCCCAAAAAAACACGATTGTATAAATCAATAAAACAGATTATGGGATCAGAGATGGACAATGTTTTGTATAAACAGTACACGGTATGTCTGTGTTGGTGAAATCAACTAAGATCCATCAATGGTTGTGTGCTTAATTGTTATGGACAGATCTTGTGTGTATGTTTGTTTGTGTGTTTGTTTGTGTGTTTGTTTGTGTGTTTGTTTGCTGTCTGTTTTGTTCTATTTGTCCGCTTACATTTTTTTTATGACATGATATCGTAAATAACTTAATCTACATGAGCTTAAAAAAAATTAAAATAATAAAAACTAAAAAAAAAATGAAAGAAGAGAAAAAATTATTCCTTAAAGTTTAACGTTCACCGTTAGTCGTCTTATCATCAGAATCATCTGGGTGAACCGGCATTTTGTTTCATCATTCATCGTCACCAATTTTTTAAACTCACCCACCACGATCATCATCATTGTCGTCATTGTCAAGGTCAAGGTCGTCGTCATCATTTTCATCACCCCCTCTCCTCCCCATCTTCTTCATCTGTGTTATCATCGTCTCATTATCATAATATATGGAAACAGTTCGTTCATCATGCCATGCCAAGCAAATCAGTGGAACTGCCAGTTAATAATTTGTTAAACAGCACACAAAAACACGCACACATACATACACACACATACATACACATACATACACACACTCACATACACACACATACATACATACATACTTACATACATACACACATACAGACACACAGACCCAGTTCCTTCTAGATGTCAACAGGTTAGATGTTAAACATCTGTAAGAAAAACAGCCAGCTGATTAAATTATTCTTAAATAGACTAATAAATTCACTGCTTGTTCTTTGAAATTTAAATAACATCTTATTATTATCATTTTATTTATTTATTATTATTATTATTGTTAATGCTACTGTTGTTATTGTTATTATTATGTGCCTATTATATACAAACTGTAAAAA